AATGAATAAATCTAAATAAGAATTTTTTTTTTCAGGATACGTTAGACTCAATGCAATATTTAACGTGATTCGTATGTAAATTATTTATAATTTAGGTAAGGAACGACTTAATCCTTACCTGAATTTTCACAAGGAACATCCAATCCTTCCTTATATGAATTATTTATAATTTTTCTTCAAGGACACTCCGTATGGAGTAATACGAGTTTTGTAGCTTCTATATACAAGCAAGTTAGCTAAAAATATTAAGAATATAAAAATTAATCTATTGGCATAATGTTTATTACATAATTTAGACAAGTTTTTCTCTTTAATCTGCTTTTTCGATTCTATATAATAAATAAGCCTACAATATATGAAGAAGGAAAAAGGAAAACGGAAAGTTTTGCCTAAATTGGATTTTAATTCCTCTCTATGGGTTGATGCGTAGCTTATTTATAGTATTTACTAGTATTTATAGTAAAAAACCATTTATTACTAAGCCAGTCATTTCAATCGATTCATATAAAACGATTTAAAAGTCGGAAATTCCTTTACATGAATATGAAATTGATGTTAGCATTAAAATATAGTTAATATATAAAATAGTAGCCAAATTTATTAATAATAAATGAATTCTAACGTAACGAATATAATTTTCAATGAATTCAATTCTACTTTATAGCATCCAGTGTTGTAAAATATTTAACATATAATAAACTTAAAAGTTCAATTATTAGTAAAATAAAAATGCAATAAAAAATGTAATTTGCAACATTTTCAGAAGTATTACAATATGTCAAAAAGCTAAATTTAAAATAAGCTATTTCGTATAGTCTATATGAAAAAATATAGGCTAATACATAAGTTTAATTCAAATAAGATTATAAATAAACCATAACTAGAGCTATACATAATTGTATAAATTACAATATCGAATGTCATTATTTAATAATTTTGCGGTTATAAAATTAGAAGATTTATTTCTTGTTTGATACTATTTAGAAAAAAAATAACAAGAGTTATTTCTTGTGAATTTATCGGACATTTTTTAAATTTTATCCTTTTCTATTATTTGAATATATTTTAAAAATGTAAATTTCATATTTCATTTATTTTTTAGAAATTTCGCCAAAATAAATTAATTGGTTATATTGCTTTAGACAAAAATGTAATATTAGAATATTATTCTTGACACATTAATAACTTATTTCCCTTGCAATGTATAAATAATTTTTATAATAGAATGTACAGTACTGTTCATTTATATTCAATAATCACAACATTTAGTCTCTTATTTACTTAATTTCACATCGTATTATATCAATATTCGAACTTAAAATTGTAAGGACATTTGTATATAAAGATATTTTCCCTTTTCAGTATAATTTCAGATAATGTATATACTGCACTTTATAAAGTACAGTATATACATTAACTGAAATTATACAAGAATAAGAACAATAAGCATAAATTTTAAATTTATGTTAATGTATAGGCTATATATATATATATAT